TTAAATCCGTGTGTCCCATCCGAAGCCCTGACATCCTTCCCTTTCTTAAGGTCACTTTCCTTGGCTCTGGGACTCATCAGCCTCCTCCTTTTCAGCTCCACTCCTCCCTTCCTTGGCTCCTTCCTAGAGCCAGCTCCGTCCTCTGCTTCCCTTCTGGGAAATGCCCCCCAGCCCCCCACAGCCTCTTCTCTCCCCATTTCATCCACCACCCCTGTCTCAGTAAAACCTCATTCATCTTTGGAAAATTTTACAATGACATCAAATATTTCTTCTGTTCCTTTCTCACTTGTGTCTTTCTGTTATTCCTAGTATGCATAAATTATCATTTTTATAATTGCCTGAGAGTGCTACCTGAAACATAAACTTCATTCTTAAATGAGATTAGATACCTTTTTTCTTTCTTTCTTTCTTTCTTTCTTTCTTTCTTTCTTTCTTTCTTTCTTTCTTAGTACATGTTTGCAACACATGACAGTCACATTCACCTGGGGGAATTGCTATATACACATACTCCATCCCTATCAGTTTTACTTCCTCCCTTTCCCCATTCCTCCCTCCTGTCTCCCTGGCCCCAGGTCCCTCACCTTTCTTTATTAGCTCTGGTTCATGACACATAATGAATACGTTCATCAGGAGAGTTGGTACTGGTATATATCGCATCTCTACTGTTTACTAGCACAAAAGTTGAAAAGAATTCTTGCCACACCAGTGCCATCTTGCTATCTTAGGAATGGTAAAAGCCCCCCATTGGCGGGACCTGTGTGGTCGCTAGGTCCTGCAACACAGAGTTAGATCTACCAGGACATGGGCTGTGGAGGAGGCTGGGGCCAGAAGGAGGTTTTTAAAGCCCTTGCTGCAGTCTCACCTGTCTGCAAAGAAAGGCATGGGTAACAGCTGCTACAGGGGCTTTCTTGCCTCCTAAAATCTAGGAAAGGGGGAGGACTTGAAAGTCTTCTAGAGCCCTGCGGGCAACTGAAGGGCTGAGGATCAAAGGCTGCAGGTGTTGGGTGGAGAATCTCAGCTCCGGGAGAGTGCAGGGGAGAAATGAATGGGGAAGTGGCTCGGCTGTTCTAAATCCTGACTAAACATAGCAAAAATACTTGGGAGTTTGCCCATTCAAAATTGAATGAGGATAGCTTTTTCTACTTCTTGTACCCAATGATGCCAATTTGGCAAGTGAGGTGTATCATAAATAAAAATCAGGGTAATGTGGGTGCTGTGCTTTGGCTTCCCCAGAGATGAAGAAAATGTATCTTTTTTCTTAGACCAGTAAGATAATTATTTTACTTGGACATGGGCTTTATTTTTAAAATAAAATGGGACGGCCAGGCATAGTGGTGCACACTTGTAATCCCAGCTACTTGGGAGACTGAGGCAGGAGAAGCTCAAGTTCAAAGCCAGCCTGGGCAATTTAGCAAGGCATTGTCTCAAAAATGAAATTTAAGGGGCCGGGGATTTAGCTCAGTGGTTCCGGCGCCTGCCTTGCAAGCACAAGGTCCCTAGTTCAATCCCCGGTACCAAAAAAAAAAAAAGAAAGAAAGAAATTTAAAAAGAACTAGGAGCTGGGTGTGATGGCATTTGCCTGTAATCCCAGCACACTGAGAGGCAGAGGCGAAGATCACAAAGTCAAGTTTAGCCTTGGCAAGTTAGCAACTTATCCAGACTCTGTCTCAAGATAAAAAATAGGAAGAGCTGGGGATGGAGCTCAGTGCCCCAGTACTGACCAAAAAAAAAAAAGATGTGGAGAGTTGAAGGTGGGGGTGGGAACAACAGGATCATTAGGCATCAACGGGGACAAGAGTCCCTGTGCAGGTGAATGCCCTGCTTGGGTCCCAACTGGAGCAGAGAGATCCTGCTATCTTTGCTTGATGCGCTTCAGAAGGATAAACTGTGGAGGAGAAAACTCCAGCAGGCTTGGCTGCAAAGCTCCTTTGAAGTGCAACGTCTGGCCCCATCCCTCCTCCCCCTCTACACTGTGGCCCAAAAGCTGAAAGTCAAGAGTGCAGATGAGCTGGGCATGGTGGCACTTGTCTGTAGGCTGAAGCAGAAGGGTCACTGAGAGTTTGAGGCCAGCCTGGGCTACATAGCAAGACCCTGTCTGAGCAGAGTCGGCTTGGTGGGAAGTGAGCACCACCCGACCTCAGTCAGCTCTACCCACTTTGTGTACCTGGAACTGTCCCCAGCCCATTTGCTCCTAGCAGGAGCTGTAAAGGAGGGAAGGAGTCTGGAGCTTTGGCCCTCTCCCCAGGATGCAGAGCTGCCTGATGCTCCTGCTGGAGGTGAAACCAGTCTCCCTCTCTATCTGGAGGCTCACAGCTTGGTGGGGGACGATCAGTCAGCCTCGGGACCCCTGCCATGTGCACTTCGAAGCTGACTGTAACAACGGAAGCCAGGAGATGTTTTTAGTATCGCATTAGTATCCTAAAGCCCAGCACAGAGCGTGAAGCCCAACTAGGATTTGCAGTTGGTGGATAAATTCCCAATGAGTCCGAGGGTCCCAACCATCATCTCAAAGTCTGGCTTCCCTGGGCAGCTTCAGAGTCAAGATGTGGGCCTCTGACCTGGCTGCTGGTGATCCTGGGGGAGGACATGCCAAGGCAGTGACTCCCCTTCCCACAGCTCACTTTTGACATTCCCAGAAAGAGGCCCCAGCCACAAATCCCAACCCCAGAGAACATGCGCGGGCAACGCATGGAAGAGAGCATCACTGCACTGCTGACAGGAGCCTGGCTTCTAAGCCCCATTTTGCAGCATCCACGCTGTGGGGCTCTGCATGGGAAAGCCACTGAAACTTCTATTTGAAAGGGAGAGGCGGTGGAGTAGGTGACTGGCGCCAGGTGGCCTAAGTCTGAATCCTGTTCCACCACTTACCTGCAGTTTTGCAAACTCCCAGGCCACCAAGGTTCTCTCTGGGGAGTTGGGTAACTGCAATATGTGCTTCATCGAGTTGTTTCGAGGGTTAATTGAGCTACTTTATATTTCATATAGGTGTTTCAGGCCTAGCACCTGATAAGTGGGTTATTATTATTTTAATGCTTATCTTTTTTAAAATGATAAAGGATTGTGCTCTATGGCTCCCCGGGAGGAATTTGGCAGGTCCCTGGTCCTTGCTGGCCCTTTTTTGTTTTCGAATCTGACAGGAAATTCCTTCTTTTTTCAGCCGTGCCAGCCACCCCATGCCCCAGCGGATGGCTTTCCATGACAAAGGCCAGGCAGGCGCCAGGTCTCCAGCCCAAGCCCAGATCTCCTGCCCCAGGAAGCACCAGGGGTTTCTTTTTCATTAACAACCTAAGTAAGGAGCATTTGGGAGCCTCCAAGGCGACCTCTGTGCCCAGTGCTTGGTCCAGTTCGGCCTGGGAGGGACTTGTGAACACCCTTGGGGGCAGAGAGGGGAGGGCTGCAAAGGACACTGTTTCCAGAGCTCCTGGGCTACCCAGCTGCCTTTTTCCAGTAAATTCAAGAATGGGATGGAGGATCTAAAAGTGTCAAGAGGAAATCTGAAACCTGCTTATTAGTTGTTCAAATGCTCCCCGGCCCTGTCTAACTCTGTGAACAGTACAGCAAGACCCAGAGCACAGGAAGGCAGTGGCTTCCTGGAATCAGACAAGGGCCCAGCTGGCCTGGACCTGGTCTGCAATTCCAGCATTAGCCCCAGCTCTTCCCACTGCAGGGAAACCCCAGGGAAGGGCCCAGCTGCATGCCATGCCGTGTCCTCTGTACTGTCCCACACTACTAAGCATCATCTACAGTAGTTCCAACCTAGGATTCCCAACTTGCTTCCCAGGCAAAAAATGTCACATATGCAGGAAACAGCACCAACTGGGTGCTGCTACAGTTCTGACCTGGAAGCATCCATCAGAGCGCCTAGTGCCTTCCCTTGCTTTTTAAGCCCATGCCCAGCAGGGGCCAGTAGCCTGGTGGACTTCATGTTGCAGGAATTCTTCAGCTCCGCAGCGCTGGAGTCTGAGCCATCCTGCTGACCTCTGCCATTGTCAAGAGACTCTTCCTTTCACCTGCCCTCATTAATGACTTTCATCTAGTATTTCCTGTCCACTGACTACATTTTTTTTTTTTTGGTACTGGGGATCGAACTCACAACCTTGTGCTTTCGAGGGAGGCACAGTGCCACTGAGCTACATTTTAATCATACTAGTACTTTAAAAAAATCTTCCCAAGAGCCAGGGATATAGCTCAGCAGTGCCTCGCCTGCCTGGCAAGCACAGGTCCTGAGTTCAATCCCCAGTACCAAAAAAACCTCCAAAAGACAAAAAAAACAAAGAGAGAGGAGTAGAGTAAGAAAGAGAAACTGAAGGGGAAGACTGAGGAGAAAAATTACTCTTGGGTCATTCACGTCCCAGAAGCAGAAATCTTTCCAAGAAACTTTCATGCCTGAGCTCTCCTTACCCCCTAAAAAATATTTTAGTCAAAATGATTCCCAGCCCCAGGTGTTAATTAGGAAATGACCAAAACACTCAAAGATTCTCCTCTAACATGGGCTGACCAGAGCTCAGTTCTGAGCAAAGTCCCGCTCATAGCTGCCTTCTCTAGGAGAAAAGCCACAGCACAGGACAGAAACTGGCCTGTTTCACAGGCCCAGTCAGGGCCCAACTACTGGCCCAGGACCTAGGATTCTGGTGGGGTGCTGTTGCCTCACTGGCAGATTGTGGGCTGACCCCTCAGCCCACCCTCCTGGGTCCTGCCTGGGTGGCTGTGCTCTGGCAGCTCATGGGCAGGGGTCCTGAGCCTTGATGACACACAGGGGAGCCTGGGCCACAAAGAGTCACCCCAGCCCTACCAATGGGGCTACCACTGAGAAACCCTGGTCTGTGTTGGGTTTTGGCTTCTTTCTACTTGGGGCCAAGTTCGAGTCCAGCGATTTCTTTGGGAATGAGGGGCTGCCTGTGTGCCTTTCCCCCAAGATCACACCCAAACCCAAAGGAAGGAACCACTGCTGTTAGAATATAGATCCTCCCCAAAGGGTAACTTTTATTCCAGCTCTTTCAGAAGCTAAGCTGCTCAAAGTCCACATCACATGATTCTTCTCTCCTTGCCCTGTATTTTCGAGGGAAAAATGTTTTCTTTGCTGCTCCCGTTCACATTATAAATTAATTCACAATTATAGACTTGATAGAAACAATATAAAATCCATGATTTTTCACATACAAAAATATCCATAAAAACAGGATTTTGGATACAGTATGGGGTAGGTAGTCTCTTTGGTTGTCATTCTGCACAACAGCAAAAGGCAATGGGGTTTCCTTATTTCTTAAAAAAAAAGGCAATAGTGATATAATCTGTACCTCACAAGCCATGGGAAAAATACACTCCCCCCCTCCCTGAAAAATTTCCCATGTGTATTTCAAAATAAATTTTAAAGTAATGCTGTGAGTCTTAAAAAGAAAACACAGAGATAAACAAAATTTTTATAATATGTATGACAGTTTCTAAAATCTTAAAACACCCAACTATCCTCACAAAGGCTCAAAAACATGGTATGAAGGCAACTAAGGACATTATCTTCATCTTCATCCAAAGCTGTTCCTGTAAACCCAACAACTATTTGTATTTTTAATTAATACTTCTTGAATACACTGCCATTCAACAAATAATGGCCAAGTGATTACCACATAATATCCCAGGGTCTCTGACAGCACTGGGAGGAGGACCAGGAAAGTCATTCAAAGGATGAGACTGCTGAGAAGTAAAAGGGAATCCAAAATAAATAAAATTATACATCTATTTTTAAAAATCTGATCACAAATGGTTTCTCATATTGAAAGCTACAAAAATCCCATTTAAAAAAACTGTTTAACAATAAAATTTTAATAATACTTTACTAGGAAATGAAATATCCAGGACACAGCTAAGAGGGATAGGATGCTGCTAACCATCATATGCTAGGGCGATGGTCCTCTCAGAACTTGAACATCGGTAGCAGGAATAAGAGAGGTGGTATTGCTTTTGCTACTCAGGAAAACCATTTCAAGTGACTTATTTCAGCCAGGTGTGGTGGCACACACCTGCAATCCCAGCACTCAGGAGGCTGAGGCAGGAGGATTCCAAGTGGGAGGCCAGATGGCTACACAGAGTTCAAAGTCTGCCTACATAGCTAGACCTTGTCTTTTATGGTTTAGATCTAAAATGTCCCCAGACTATGTCTTTTTTTGGAGACAGGGTCTCATTTTGTAGTGTAGACTGGCCTTGAACTCACTATGTAGCCCAGGCTGGCCCTCAGCTCATGGCGATCCTCCTGCCTCAGCCTTCAAATACTGGAATTATAGGTGTGTGCCACACCAGGATTAGAAGGGTGCATTTTTGTTCCTTGCACTTCTCTGCTTCCTGGGCACCATAGATAGCACGAGCAGCCTTCTTCCACCATGCCCTCTTACCATGTCATTTCTGTCATGGAGTCTGCCAACCATGCACCAAAACAAAGCTCTTCTTTAAGTTGCAGGTATCAGGTATTTTGTCCCAGCAACAAGAAACTAATACACTGTCTTTAAAAAAAAAAAAAAAAAAAGGAAAGATTTTAACTAGAATCTTTGGTTAGGTGAGATCTAGCTCCATTCCTACCCTCTTCTATTCTTACAGAAGTTTGCCCACAAGGCTGGTTAATTTTAGGAGCTAGAACACAGAAGTTACAAGCACCAGATCTACCTGAATCTACAATTTTCTGTGTGACCTAGGGCAACTTACTTAACATCTCAGAAAACTACTTCCCTTGAAACAGAAACGAAGGCCGGTCAAACCTATCTCCCACAGTTGCTATGAGGATGGCAGGTTAAGATGTGTCCAGCCATCTACACTAGTACTTGGAACACAGTGCTGCTCATACAGTTTTATTTTTACTGGTACCCAGCTGAGACCACTGTACTCAGCTTTCAAGCTGAGTAGAGCAGACTCATTAAATGCTGACAAAATTCTCAGTCTGTGCTAGTGTTTTAGCCACTTTTTGAAGGTGACATTCCTTGCTTCAAAGAGAAATCTGGAAGTGTCTACCACTTATACCAGACAGAGGGGACACCTGTGAACTGCACATAAGTCCAAGGATTTGTGGCATTTCCTAAAAAATACAGATTATCTGGCTTTTCTAGAAAAATCAGCACCCTGCCATGTGGAAGACCACCGGTTGCTCACAGCAGGCTTCCACCAAGCTCTCTCTTCTGCTTCAGGTGCAAGGTGCTGTGGTTTTCATGTTTTGGAGCTGCTGGGACACATTTGGGCTTGCCATCCCGAGACGCAGCGACAAACGGAACAGAGATGGGCCCGGCCTGAACGGGGCTCACAGGCTACCTGTCTCGGAATAGATCCAGCAGCTGTTATCCAGAGACAGCTGGGAGAGCTCCTTGGAGAGTTAGAGTCCTCTGCTTCCCTGGACCACAGGACCACACAGAAGCTTGATTCAACTGTAGGATCTGTTTGAAAGGGGCACGCTACACCTCCGAGCCCTCTCGGGGGTAGACGAGGCTGTTGACCATGCTGAAGTTATAGAAGGGGCTGCCAAAAGGGCTGCTCTGGCCCGAACTGCTGCTGGCAGGGAAAGGGCTGTAATAGGAAGGTCGCTGGGTGCTGCTGGTGCTGCTACTCAGCTGCAAGGTGTCAGAGGAGCCCTCGGGGATGGAGGTTGAGGGGAACGGGCTGCTGGAGGGCAGCTGGGCACCCTGGATGCCTAGGTGGCGGCTGCCGGGGAGGGCTCGCTGGGTGCCACTGCTGCTGCTGCTGCTACTTAGGGTGCTGAGGCTGCTGAAGAAGGTGCTGAGGCAGGGGGTGGAGCTGAGCAGGGAGGAGCCAGGAGAGGATGCAGTACTCTTGGTACCCTCAGGGGGCTCTGGGGACTGTGGGAGCCTCAGGGGCAGGGAGGAGGGGCTGTTTCCTTCTGGCTTGGAGCCTGCACCAGCCCCCAGTCCTTCTGATTTTGATGTCACCACAGCCACTGCGGAGTTACTGCTGGCTTCTGAGCGGCGTTTTCGTTTCCGACGGAAGTTCCCATTGTCAAACATTTTCTCACAGTTTGGATCCAAAGTCCAATAGTTACCTTTCCCTGAGGAAGAAAGATGAGTTACAGGAGGACTTATTTATGAAATAAACCCCCAGGGGAGTCCCTAGGCCCCAGTGGATCTCTGAAACCTTGGAGTGTGTGCAATCCTACACACTCTGTATTTTTCCCTATAAATATCTATGATACAGTTTAATCTATAAATTAGGCATAGTGAAAGATTAACAACAATAATAAACTAGAGCAATTATAAAAATATACTGTAATAAAAGCTATGTGACTGTGGTCCCTGTTTATTTCTAGAAATTTCCACTTAATATTTTTGGGCCACAGTTGATTTTTAGGTAAGTGAAACCCAGAAAGTAAAACTGAGGGAAAGAGAAGACCATTGTACTCGGCTTTCAATCTGAGCAGAGAGCAGACTCATTAAATGCTGACAAAATTTTCAGACTGTGCTAGTGTTTTAGCCACTTTTTGGAGGTGATATTTCTTGCTTCAAAGAGAAATCTGGAAGTGTCTACCACTTCAGCACTAAGACCCAATCCTATTCCTGAGGCATGCACAATGAAATCACCCAAGAAGGTCTCTTATTCTAGATCCAAATGGTGTGACCTGGCAAAGCCATCAATTCTGGAGCTGCTTAAAACTCAAGCTTTGGGGCCAGGGATTTAGCTCAGTGGTTCTGCTGCCTGCCTTGAAAGCACAAGGTACCGAGTTTGATCCCTGGTACCAAAAAAATGAAAAAAAAAACCTGTAGCTTCCATTTCTTTTATAAAACGAGGATTAAAACCAAAAGGGGATGAGAATGGTACTCATGTAGTAGTCTGGGGACTTAAATGCTATCTTAATATAGCGGTGGGCACACAAGCTGTGAAAACAGGGTCTTTATATTATTTCCTAAACATGCACAGCTCATGCTCCTGAAAAACATATCCCACTGGGAAAGGGCAATCATCTGTAAGACCAATCAACTGCTGCAGGCACATATTTGGAATACTAGGAAATTCTGATTCCTTTCTTTTTTTTTTTGGTACCGGAGGTTTGAACTCAGTACTTTGCGCTTGCGAAGTACGCAGCAGAACCACTGAGTTCTAAATAAATCCCCAGCCCAATACTAGGAAATTCTGGAAGCAACATTCATGCCTCATCTTGGGCAGGACATGCCACTGCAAATGCCCACAAGCTTTCTGCCCATGGAGCAAATGTTGGGCACTCATTTAGTACATGCAATGCTCACCTTCTGCCTAGAAAATGTCCCTCACTATCACAACTGAAGTAGAAAAGACTGTCATCAAGTCTTATGACTTTATGACTCAGTTGTTTTTGTTCTTTTTTCTTCAGTACTGGGGATTGAACCCAGGGTCTTTGCACTAAGCTATATCCCCAGTCCCTTTTTTTTTTTTTCACTTGACATAGGGTCTTGCTAATTAATTTCTCAGGCTGGGCTAGAACTTTTTTGATCCTCCTGCTTTGGCCCCCCAGAGTAATAACATTACAGGTGTGTACCACCACACCCAGCTCAATGGTTTTTTCCACTTCTGACAAAGAGTCTTTGGTGTTTGAAAGTATTATTAAGCATTTACCTTGTAATAAATTCCTTACCTGGATAACCTCCGTTACTCTTCACAGATCCATGGAGATAGTTATGTTACTGGCCCCACTTTTGAGACGGGGAAATGGAGGGGCAGATGGTTAGTACTATGCTATATTCTAAGTGTTACACAATAATTTCCAAGGTAAAGCCAACATTTAAGCAGGCTGGCTCCAGATTCATCTTTCTTTCCAGGTACTGATGACTGAGCCTAGAGCCTTCGTACTGAGTGAGCTATACGTCCAGCCTTTTGAACGGAGACAGGGTCTCACTAAATCACTCCAGGGACACCTGAAACTTATGATCCTCCTGTCCTTTGTATTCAAATTGACTGCTGGAATTTCAGCAGTCAGCATTTTTTTTTCTTTCTTTTTGATAGTCTTGCTATGAAGTTCAGGCTGGCATTGAACTCACTATGTAGCTCAGGCTGGTCTCAAACTCATGACATTCCTCCTGCCTCAGCCTCCTAAGTGCTGGGATTACAGGCATACACTACCACGCCAGGCAGACTTGGTGTTCTTAAACCACCACATGAAAATGCTTCCATGAGCTAGCAGGCACTCCCGTATCTCCAACATAGCATTTTCTACAGATAGTTGCAGGGGGAAAAATTATATAACTATGATTAGAGTAATATCTGGATATGTATATTAGGCCATCTTGGTACCAACAGTGTTATGGCTTGTGTCTAAATGTCCCCCCAAAGTCTCATGCAGTTATTCATAGGTAGGTCTTTTTCAGAGGTGGCTGGATCTAGAGTGATGCTGGAATTGATTCATGGTGCAATGCTAGGATTAAAGGCACCAGGATTCAGGGTGTGAGTGCTACTCACCTTAAGTAGGGTGGATAAGATAAAAGGGATAGAAAGAGCTGTGGTCGTGCCTAGTTGCTTTGCTACCTTCTGCCCACCATAAACTGTTTCTCCTCTACCATGCCTATCTGCCTGCCACCATGCCTTGGACCAGCTGACCAGCTGGCTAGGACTGAAACCTCTACAGACTGTGAGCTAAAAAAACAAAACACAAAACTGTGAGCTAAATAAACCTTTTCTCCCTTAACTTATGGGTGTTGGGTATTTTGTCTCAGCAATAAGAAAAGTAACTAAGACAATAGTTTTTTTTTCCTTGCTACATCCCTGGCCCCCAATTTTTTCTTCTTCTTTTTTTTTGGTTTGTTTGTTAGGTATCAGAATCAAACTCAGGACCTTATCTTGCAAGACAGGCGCCGGAACCACTGAGCTAAATCCCCGGCCCTTCTTTGGTTTTTTTTTGCAGGTACCAATAGCTTTGTCAAGATCCCATCAGTAGCTTTGAACTTTTAGTGTGACTTTTATAGGAATTGATATGACAAGTGACACAATAATCCTCGGTAATTCAAAAGCCAAATCAAGATGTCTTCTACAACTGCATGCCCTGTCCAACACAATAACCACTAGCTACAGGTGGCTAATGGCACTTGAAATGTGGCTAGTTCAAATCAAGATGTGGCATAAAACACACATGATTTTTAAAGTTTTAGACCCAAGAAAATAATGTAAGAACCCCGCCAGTAATTCTTATATTTATTATATGTTGAAACATTTTGGTTACTTAAAAATAATACAACCAGCATCTCTCTCTCTCTTTTTTTAATGTGGCTACCAGAAAATGTGGTTTTCACATGTGGTTTATGTTCTACAGTAATTCTTTTAGAAATTGCTGCTCTAGAGTGTAGTGACTCCGGGGCTGGGAAGATAAGCTCAGTGGCAGAGCTTTGATTAACTTGTAAAAGCCCCTGCGTTCAATCCTCAACACTACACACACACACACACACACACACACACACACACACAAATGACTTCAGGGGTCAGCTCATTCTGAGCACCATAGAAGTGTGGGATTAAAATGCTTTTACTTCTTTTTTTCCTACTCCAACTTCCTCCCTTGAATACCTTTGTCCTGGGTTCCTTCAGAAAACCTCAAGTAGGATTGTTTCTCTCCACCCCCACCTCTCACAAGGCCAGGTAAGAGACACTCACAGTCCTCCTTGCTCCAGAAGTTACCGGATTTACAAACTGAAATTGTTAATGTACATGTACCAACTCCCCACGAGGAATGCGATCATTGTATACTGCAAGCATGTACTAATAAAAAAAAAAAGAAACTAAACAAGAAGAAAGCACATTTGGGGTGTTCATTTAAAAATTTCAAACTAGTTAAGGTGTCAATACCACAACTTGCAGGACCCACTGAGGTTCTCCAAGCTCCCTGCGGCGGGTCAAGACGCCCGAGGCACTAGGTCGAAGGGAGCCGAGCGCAGCCTGCCGGGAAGCTTAGTTAACGATCATGGGGTTCTCTGCTCCCCTCACTCCCTTCAGAACCATCCTCCACCGAGAGCTCGCCATTCCGTGACCTTCTTCCCTGTCTACCTCCTCCCTTCAAAGGGCCAGACGAACACGACTCAAAACGACAGACAACTTTTCCCTTTTGCTCCGAACTGGTCGGCTTTGGTTTGTGGACACAGGGGATGAGCTCCTGCCTCGCCGGGTCCTCCCTCCGCGCACCTCTGTCACTTCTCTTTGTCCTCTGGTCCCCCACTCAACCGAAGAGGTTGGGGTGCTTGTTGTCCACCTGCGCCCCCCCGCGCCGCGATCTCCCCGCTGGGGGCGCACAGACCCCGCCTGCGCCCCGCGCCCTCCCCAGCCGGGTGGCACCTGTCCGGCCGCCCTCACCTGGATCGTCCTCGTCGCGGGGCACCTTCTTGAAGCAGTCGTTGAGCGACAGGTTGTGGCGGATGGAGTTCTGCCAGCCTGCCTTGCTTCGCTGGTAGAAGGGGAAGCTGTCGGCCACGTACTGGTAGATGTGGCTGAGCGTGAGCTTGCGCTCGGGCGCGCTCTGAATGGCCATGGCGATGAGCGCCGAGTACGAGTAGGGCGGCCGCACCATTTTCATCAGGTCCTCGCGGCTGGCCATGGACAGCCAGCCCAGCTCTCCGGGAGCCCCGGCGGCCCCAGGCGCGGCGATGGGCGAGGCGGGCGCGGGCTGCGCGAAGGGCCGCTGCGCGCAGCCGAAGGTGCCCGCGCCGGGCGGCGGCTGCAGGAAGGGTCCGGCCGCGGCTCCGGGGGGCGGGGGCGGCGGGGCGCCCAGGTAGGCGGCGGCGGGCGAGCCGCCCACGCCGGGCCCGTTGAGCCACAGGTAGGGGTTGGCGGCGGCCGGAGGAGGCGCGGCGTAGTCGGCCAGCGCGTAGGAAGAGCGGGTGGCGGGGGACGCACCCGGGGCGGCGGGGGCGGCGGGCGCGGCCAGGCCCGGCTGCGAGTAGACGCCGAAGTTGTCGCCGCAGTACAGGGCCATGTCGCCGGCCGAGGGCTGGTGCGGCGCAGCCGCGGCCAGGGGCGAACGGGGCTGGTCTCGCCGCTCGGGCGATTGCATCCCTTTGGGGAGGCCAACCCGGCGGCCCCACCTCGGCCTCGCGCAGTGCCTGGGATCCTGGCTGAGGTCCGACAGGTGCGCGCGGCGCCCGCGAGCTGGGCTTTATACCCGAGGCTCCCGAGGAGCACCGGCTGGGCGGAGCTCGCCACGCCCCCCGGCCCGGCCACGCCCCTCCTCGTCAGCCCCGGGCGAGCGGGGAAGAACCTCGCAGCCAGGTTTCAGGTGAAAAGCCCCACCCCGTTCCGAGCCTACCGATTCTTAACCCCATAACAAGTTTTAACGAATATGCAGACGAGAAGACAACCCAAACTGCACAGTCGTTTTCTGTGAAGTCCGTAAGTCAGTTTGGGGTGGCTGCTCAGGCCACCTGCCTAGTCCCTTGAGGTCCAATCTTTTGTGATCCGGTTACCGGATTCACATGAGGCTCTGCACCGCGGTCCCGATGGAAATCGCTGAATAGATCGGCAGAGATTGGCAAACAGGGGACCGAGAGATGGGGGAGTGAAAAGGATGAACGTCTGTCACGAACTGGTACCAGCTCCCCATGACGAATGCGGTCACCAGCACTGCACACATGTATTAATACAAATTTTTAAAAATAGGTTGACCGCCCTTTTATGGGATCCAACGGGGACCCTTCAAGTGCGGCCCTTTTTTCTCGGAGTTTTCGCGATCAGAGCAACTGAAATTGGGGTTTCATTTTTCCAACCAAACTCTGTTCGTTCACTTTCAGAAAACACTTGTTCTTTTACGTCAAGTTCTCGCGCTTTGGGTGTGATTTTGTTATCTTTTTAAAAAGTGGATGTATTCAAAGACAAAGTTAGGTAAGTGATTTTGGAACCGAAAGATTGAAAGTTTGAGATTAAAGTGATTTAAGCTGCGCAAAAACGCTGGTTTACAAACAGTCTCTTCTAATTTCTGTGGGGTTTTTTTTTTAAGTCTCTTCTAATTTCGGTACACTACGTCCCTCAGTTTTGTAAGTTTTCAGATGGGGCTCCCTGCCTGGAAACAAACAAGATTACTAGAATACTGTGGCGACCCCAGGAGCCACGCAATCATTATTTATTGGCATAACAACAGCAATAAGGAAAAGGGTCTCTGCCGCCTGCCTCGAAAGCGCAAGGTTCCGAGTTCGATCCCTGGTACCGAAAAAAAGAAAAAAAAAAAAGAAGAAAGAAAGAAAAAAAGAAAAATGGTCTCTTTTACACTTAGAAATATTACTAAATGTGTTCTCAGTAACAAGTCTGAGGTCCTCGTTTAAGAGGTAATTTTCTCCCAGAAAGAGTCATTTTGGGGACTTGGTGGTGTTTCTAAGAACTGGATTATTTTTCCTGTTTTATTTGATCAGAATAATCATGTTTACTTACTTGTCTGGTTCTTCTCTGTCTACTGTTGACTTGTGCAATCTCTGTAATTTCTTATACAGCAAAACTATCACACAAACAAAAAAAGAGGGGGGAGCTTTTTGACTTTGCCAACTGCAAATTGAATGTCGTTTTTGAAAAGTCAGTAAATCAATTTGGGGTGGCTGCTCAGGCTTGTAATTTAGAATATTTAATAGTTTGGAAATCTTTCCCTAAGGCATTTATTCTCATGATAAACTTAGTTCTGTATCCCCAGCAGCTCACCTCTCAAAAATGAAAACCTAAAATGTAAATTTTGCTTCAAATTAACTATTTAGTCATTTTCTCTGGAAAGCAGAAAAGAACTATTTGTCAACTCTGGAGCACACTATTTGTGTCTGTCTCCAGGAAGATGCTATAGAAAGGAACAGCGTTTGTCTTAATAGTACTCTGGTTTAGAGATCTAAACATGTTCTTAATTTACATAAACATGATGCTTTTTTTTTCTGCTTTCCCTTCCCAAATGTCCTGAAAAGAAATTGTTTAACTTGGTTTTGATGTTTCCCTTGGAGGTTGTAAGAGAGACATCTATGACCCAGGAAACTGGAAAGCAATATTTAATGTTATAATGCCCAAATTTAATATTTGTCCTTAAATGTAAAGGTCTAAACTAAAAAGAAAAAGTGTAAAAGTTGAGTACCTAGATGGCCTTAGATTATGAAAACTTTGAAGTCCATGTCCTTTAGTGACACATGTTTGGAGGGTTTTTTTGTTTTCTTTTTTTGGTGCTGGGGATTGAACTCAGGTCCTTGCGCTTGTGCAGCAGGCAGTGAAACCTCTGAGCTAAATCCCTGGCCCTATGACACATGTTCTTAAGACTATGTAATACCTTCCTTTATCTGTCAATAGATTGCTGGCTCATACATGCTTTGCAGCTCTTTTAGAGTCTAATTTTTTTTTTTTTTTTTGAGACAGGGTCTCACTATGTAGCTCAGCCTAGCCTTAACCTCTCAGTGATCCTCCTGCCTCAGCCTCTCAAGGGCTGAGATTACAGGCGTGCACTACCACTCCTGGCTAGGATCTGATTCTTAACCCATTGCTCCAAATTATTCTGAATGAGAGGCCATTATTGCAAATCATGGTTCATTATTTTGATTAAAGGTGCTACCTACTAGGGATGTTTTGTTCCTTAACTATATTTTTGCAGACCTTAGTTCTATTTAAAAATAACAGAGCCACCTAGTGCCTCTTTGTATCTATTACAACATACATCCCAGTACTGAGGATCTGTATGGGTGAACTGCACCTCTAGGGAGTTGGAAGTTACATTTCTCTATTTTCTTTTCTTTTTTTTGGTACAGGGGTCTATTTTCAATCCTATGTTGATTATATAAAATGAAAACTACTATTGGTCATGGCTGGGCTTATTTAATGTCAAAACTAAAATAATAGTTTTTAAATCTCCTCCCCACCTACCTCCACCTTTCTGAAACCAGGTCTTGCTATGTAGTCCAACCTGGTCTTGAGCTAAAGTTCCATTTTTTAAAAAAAAATAAATATTAAAAGCACTTACACAGACTAAAAATTATGATTAAAAATGCAAGTTTCCTCGAATAATGTTCAGTTGCCTTTTCATATAATCAAGGCAATTGATAAATTTTTTTTTTTTTTTGGTATTGGGGATCGAACTCAGGTCCTTGCACTTGCGCAGCAGGCAGAGAAACCACTGAGCTAAATCCCTGGCCCAACTGATAAATGTTTTATGCCAATGTAAAACAAAGATAGGCTGTACAGTATTGTCATCACCAAAAAAATAAAACTTTTGGAAAATTATTCAACTCGGATAAAAGGTCTCATTTTCCACTGCCACTTGGTAATACTCTTGTTGACTCTGAATCGGCTGAACAACCATGAGTTATGGTGAAATGTGGTTTGGGGGTTTTTTTGGAGTGTATGCATGTGTGTATGTGTCTCCCAATACTGGAGGCTAAACCTAGGCCCTTCATACTGAGCTGCATCTGTAGATTTCTTTTTGTATTTTTAAATTTTGTGGACAGGGTCTTGCTAGGTTGCTAAGTTGCCCAAGCTGGGCTGGGCTGGGACTTACGATCCTTCTGCCTCAGAATGTAATCATTTAAAGCTAATAGTAAAAGGGAATATAAATTTTATTATGCTCATTAATCTGCAGAAACATTAGCACATTAGTGTTTGCTAGCATTTTTATGTATTTCCAGGGAAGGAAAAAGGTCTTTAAATTGGAGATACCCCCTGCTGTTATCTTTGAATGACAGCAAACTTAGGCTGGTTTACCTCGTGTCGTCTACAAAAACCCACAGGTGGAAATCTACCCATGTCCCTGTCCAGCTTTGTGCCTAGCACTAGAGTTAGTACACTTACTTCTTCAATGGGCTGTGGATTTAGCTCAGTGGTTCCACTGCCTGCCTCACAACCACAAGGTCCCAAGTTACTTCTTCAAGTGAACCAAACCCTATTGAGGATGAATCTGTATCTGTGATTCATTGTTTTAAACCTCTTAAACACCATAGGATAAGCATATATCAACTTTTAAAAATTTTATGTTGAATTAATGAACATCTCTACTTACAGGCACCACACCGGAATATAAATAAGCCCATTCAGGGATATGTAAGCATGGATACACACGAAACAAGCAAAAATCCAAAATGGAAGCTGGGAAATTTCTCTCAGAAAAAGTGAGTAGCCAGGTGTGGTGGCTCATGCCTGTGATCCCAGCACTCGGGAGGCTAAGGCAGGAGGATCACCATGAGTTCAAGGCCACCCTGGACTACATAGTTTAAGGCCAACCTGAACTGCATGGTAGGACCCTGTCTTAAAAGAATAAAAAGGTATAGTTTAAGATATGGTTTAGTTTACTTAGGATGATAAATTCCTAGTTGGGATTTGCTGGATTGAAGAGCATTTAAAAAAATGAGTTCATCGGGGTGGACCCTAACCCAGGATGACTCCTGTGTTCACAAGAAGAGACAATCACAAAGATGCACACATGTACAGAGCAAAGGCCACACAGGGGCCTAGGAAGGAGAGAGGCCTGCAGAGGAAACCAGCCTGGCTGACACTTCCATCTCAGACTCCTTGCTTCCAGGGCTGTGACTTTGATTTAGGTCCTGGATGAGTATTACAGGTGGGTGTGGATTCCCTCCCTTTCAAAAGGAAGTGCCAGGCAGGTGTGGTGGCACATTCCGGTAATCTTGGTACTTAGGAGGCTGAGGCAGAAGGATTCTGAGTTCGAGGCCAACCTGGTGCTGGTGACTCCAATCCAGACAGGAGCTCTTGGCCCCAAATTCAACAACTACTGGGCATTTCCACTTCGTGTGATCAGAATTCTCTTCGAAACTGCTTCCCCTTGTGTTCCCAGCCATTCTCTGCAGTCACCTTATTGACCTAGGCATCTACGCCAGAAGCTGGACATTCTTCAACATCGACATGCAAGTCATGCCAGGATAGCGCTCTGCTCTTGTGGTCCAGTGGCGACATGGCAGTTCAGGCCACCTCGTGTCACCTGGCTCACTGAGGTCAGCTACCCACTGCCTCCCTGACTCCTTGGGTGCCT